ATTACACGAATCCAATCAAAACTCAGAGAGGGCAGCAATCCGGAACTTGTATTTAGCGGAATTCTAATGCAATTCATATAAGAAACATATCAACAGTCAACAGTAAGTATTTTAAACAATACAGAGATAGAAATTGTCAATCACCACATCCGCCACACCTCGAATATCTTTTTGCGTATGTATAACGATGTCTCGGTTTGCTTGCAAGTAGCTTCGACCTAACTGATTCTGTGATATTATTTTCATCAGTATTATCTGGACCTATTTCTGAATTATCTACAAAATCAGGATTATTAGCGGAATCAATAATATTATAATTGGAACGACCTACTTCATTTCTTGTCACTTTGTCCAGGTGTCCGTTATGAACTGAGTGATCTTTGATGTCTAATATCTTCACCACTCGATTTCCCATTTTTTGTAGTATAATTCCAACAGAAGGTCTGTAGTTATTATCTTTGTAATAATGTACATTAGAAGTCGTGGACATCAGATGCTTTTTGAGAATTCGAGATTTGAAAAGTTTTGCAGGACTTTCATGGGTACTTGTAGGCTCTGCATTCGACAGACGCAGTCTATGCATATGCAGTAATTCCTCAATTTTAATCAGTTGCTCTCTCATCTCATTCAGGTCTTTTCGTGTTTTCGACAGTTCACATTGTAACTCAGCTACCTCATTTTTGAAAACAGTTGACACTTGAGTTGCCGAACTTGTAGTGGAGGTTTTTATCGGATTAGCTTGAGTATTTTGAAAGGTTGAAAGACACATTGACTCCATTTTACTAGACAGCTTGGGAGAATTATAAGAATGTTGAGCAACATAAGTATTCGAACTTCTGCAAACCGTCTTGATGTGTCCAACTTTACCACATTTGTGACACTTAGCACCCCGAAAACGGCAAGTGCTTCGTAGATGCAACTTTCCACAGGATAAACACGGTTTAATGTTTTTGATCTCTCGCTGCATTCTATTACCTGTGGACGGCAGTTTGGATTTATTTCCATGAACACTTGTATTTTCGACTTTAGAAAGCATAACATCAGACATTGACGTAGTGGGAGCAGAGTATTCATTATTGACATCTTCATATGTAATACATACATCTTTAGCAGTTTGAAAAGTACAAGGAGGAATCTGAATTAACTCCTTCTCTAATTTAGGAATGTTGATTCCAGCAATTAGACGATCACGTAGTTGAGTATGCAGCTGATCTCCAAAATTACACTTTGAGGCTTGAATTTGAAGTTGAAGAATAAATTCTCGAATCTTCTGGTTGGGAGAACGTACCAGTTTGTTGAAGTGAGCCCTCTCTCTGGTCTCAAAAGTAGTTACATGGAAATGATCTATAAGAATTTCACGGAGCTTAGCATATGGCAGAGAAATAGGTTTATCTGGAAACGCCAGATTCTTCACTAGGCTATATGCATCAAGCCCAATAGCAGTGATGAAATGAGCAGGTATTTTGTCATCCCGAACATTCTTGGAAATGCACCACGCATCAAAGCATTCCAAATAATCAGCAATCTCCCGCGGAGACCCATTAATGGGGAATTTTCCCAGGTTACTTAGCTCCATCGCGACGCCAATTTGTAGTAATTTATTGTAATAGTAATATTAGTATTTCGAGATGACTGAATTACACGAATCCAATCAAAACTCAGAGAGGGCAGCAATCCGGAACTTGTATTTAGCGGAATTCTAATGCAATTCATATAAGAAACATATCAACAGTCAACAGTAAGTATTTTAAACAATACAGAGATAGAAATTGTCAATCACCACATCCGCCACACCTCGAATATCTTTTTGCGTATGTATAACGATGTCTCGGTTTGCTTGCAAGTAGCTTCGACCTAACTGATTCTGTGATATTATTTTCATCAGTATTATCTGGACCTATTTCTGAATTATCTACAAAATCAGGATTATTAGCGGAATCAATAATATTATAATTGGAACGACCTACTTCATTTCTTGTCACTTTGTCCAGGTGTCCGTTATGAACTGAGTGATCTTTGATGTCTAATATCTTCACCACTCGATTTCCCATTTTTTGTAGTATAATTCCAACAGAAGGTCTGTAGTTATTATCTTTGTAATAATGTACATTAGAAGTCGTGGACATCAGATGCTTTTTGAGAATTCGAGATTTGAAAAGTTTTGCAGGACTTTCATGGGTACTTGTAGGCTCTGCATTCGACAGACGCAGTCTATGCATATGCAGTAATTCCTCAATTTTAATCAGTTGCTCTCTCATCTCATTCAGGTCTTTTCGTGTTTTCGACAGTTCACATTGTAACTCAGCTACCTCATTTTTGAAAACAGTTGACACTTGAGTTGCCGAACTTGTAGTGGAGGTTTTTATCGGATTAGCTTGAGTATTTTGAAAGGTTGAAAGACACATTGACTCCATTTTACTAGACAGCTTGGGAGAATTATAAGAATGTTGAGCAACATAAGTATTCGAACTTCTGCAAACCGTCTTGATGTGTCCAACTTTACCACATTTGTGACACTTAGCACCCCGAAAACGGCAAGTGCTTCGTAGATGCAACTTTCCACAGGATAAACACGGTTTAATGTTTTTGATCTCTCGCTGCATTCTATTACCTGTGGACGGCAGTTTGGATTTATTTCCATGAACACTTGTATTTTCGACTTTAGAAAGCATAACATCAGACATTGACGTAGTGGGAGCAGAGTATTCATTATTGACATCTTCATATGTAATACATACATCTTTAGCAGTTTGAAAAGTACAAGGAGGAATCTGAATTAACTCCTTCTCTAATTTAGGAATGTTGATTCCAGCAATTAGACGATCACGTAGTTGAGTATGCAGCTGATCTCCAAAATTACACTTTGAGGCTTGAATTTGAAGTTGAAGAATAAATTCTCGAATCTTCTGGTTGGGAGAACGTACCAGTTTGTTGAAGTGAGCCCTCTCTCTGGTCTCAAAAGTAGTTACATGGAAATGATCTATAAGAATTTCACGGAGCTTAGCATATGGCAGAGAAATAGGTTTATCTGGAAACGCCAGATTCTTCACTAGGCTATATGCATCAAGCCCAATAGCAGTGATGAAATGAGCAGGTATTTTGTCATCCCGAACATTCTTGGAAATGCACCACGCATCAAAGCATTCCAAATAATCAGCAATCTCCCGCGGAGACCCATTAATGGGGAATTTTCCCAGGTTACTTAGCTCCATCGCGACGCCAATTTGTAGTAATTTATTGTAATAGTAATATTAGTATTTCGAGATGACTGAATTACACGAATCCAATCAAAACTCAGAGAGGGCAGCAATCCGGAACTTGTATTTAGCGGAATTCTAATGCAATTCATATAAGAAACATATCAACAGTCAACAGTAAGTATTTTAAACAATACAGAGATAGAAATTGTCAATCACCACATCCGCCACACCTCGAATATCTTTTTGCGTATGTATAACGATGTCTCGGTTTGCTTGCAAGTAGCTTCGACCTAACTGATTCTGTGATATTATTTTCATCAGTATTATCTGGACCTATTTCTGAATTATCTACAAAATCAGGATTATTAGCGGAATCAATAATATTATAATTGGAACGACCTACTTCATTTCTTGTCACTTTGTCCAGGTGTCCGTTATGAACTGAGTGATCTTTGATGTCTAATATCTTCACCACTCGATTTCCCATTTTTTGTAGTATAATTCCAACAGAAGGTCTGTAGTTATTATCTTTGTAATAATGTACATTAGAAGTCGTGGACATCAGATGCTTTTTGAGAATTCGAGATTTGAAAAGTTTTGCAGGACTTTCATGGGTACTTGTAGGCTCTGCATTCGACAGACGCAGTCTATGCATATGCAGTAATTCCTCAATTTTAATCAGTTGCTCTCTCATCTCATTCAGGTCTTTTCGTGTTTTCGACAGTTCACATTGTAACTCAGCTACCTCATTTTTGAAAACAGTTGACACTTGAGTTGCCGAACTTGTAGTGGAGGTTTTTATCGGATTAGCTTGAGTATTTTGAAAGGTTGAAAGACACATTGACTCCATTTTACTAGACAGCTTGGGAGAATTATAAGAATGTTGAGCAACATAAGTATTCGAACTTCTGCAAACCGTCTTGATGTGTCCAACTTTACCACATTTGTGACACTTAGCACCCCGAAAACGGCAAGTGCTTCGTAGATGCAACTTTCCACAGGATAAACACGGTTTAATGTTTTTGATCTCTCGCTGCATTCTATTACCTGTGGACGGCAGTTTGGATTTATTTCCATGAACACTGTCAGCAAAGTCTCATAAACCGTTAATGCCCAGCTCTCGCTACGCTCGGGCCCACGCTGTTCTTAGAAGATTTCTGAGAAACGCTTAGTAACAACGGACGAAAAAACCAGAACACCAATTGTTGACTTGAGTATTATGTATTGTTACACCAGCATATAAATCAAGTATCACTAAGCAAACTAAGAAAACTAAGGTCTGAAAACAAATATTACAATAATAAATCTCTGTATTACTTCTGACGATGTTTCAATCTTCTTTCTGAACAGCGACCGATGAGACGATGACTGTCGTATTGATGCCTCCGCGAAAATCGAGGAAGTTGATTTTGAGCAAACAACCAAGAATTGATCGTTCAATCTTCAACTCCATTGACACTCCCCGGCAAAAAAGGGATCCAACCCTTTTTTCCTTCACGACCAATGCACGTTGACTTGGATGCCATTGCGAGAACCTGGGTCACACGGACAGAGCTGAAATGGAAAACAAACAGAAAAGCCAACACACCACAAGCATACCCACAGCACAATCTCACACATCAATGACGACCTGCGCCTCCAGACAGAGACCTCCTCTTGACATCTTGCAACACAATCGCCACTTGCTAGAATGACTCTTGCAGAATGCAACGTGACCATAGCAGCACCTCATGATACTCTTCAAGCATCCTCTTTTCTATTCACTATCAATTACCACTGAAATCGCTTGTCACTCATTCTGCCTCAGTTCTAGTAGCGGTGACGCATGCGAGCCTCAGTCGTTTACACTCTTTCTCCCCGGCGTGTCGGACCGCAGCTAACAATTGTCTCCGTGTGCATTTCATTCTCAGCAATAGCCTAGCCTCCCCGGCGTATACGACCCATCTGCTGTCCTTAACATCAATCAATTCATTCATGGATGTAGAAGACTCGAAACAACTTCAGAAGTAATCACGACGAAAATTTTAACAAAATTACGCAATAACAACAAGACACGAAAACAACAAGTAAACACAATGAATCCAAAATCACAAATTGATATGACACACCACACGTATATACAAACAGTACAAACAACTTCACCGATCATGTCTTGATGGAATTCCTTTGAAGAATTGCAGGACTTACACCAGTACGCCTACAACCCTTCACAGGTTGACGATTGTAAGTTGTGGAATGTCCAGACACAAACAAGATTAACCAACAATTACATCAATTGGAACTCACACAACTATTTAACACAAACATATGTACAATCAACACATCAAATGTTGTGGATTCTGACACGACAAACTACCCTTGAAGAACTGTAGGACTTACAGCAGTACGCCTACATTCCTTCTCAGGTTGATGATCCAAGTGGAAGTCGTCCGGACACAAACAGAATTACCAACAGCTAGATGAAAGATGATATCAATTCAGTATATACAATATGAACATATGTACAAGATCATACACCAAGCACATTGGACTGCTCATTGATGCGCTACCCTTTGAAGAACTGTAGGACTTACACCAGTACGCCTACAACCCTTCTCAGGTTGACGCTCTAGGTTGGAAAATCGTCGCAGAGTTCATTTGCTAACTTCCTTCTATCAGCTATATCCTCAAATCTGAACGGCAACACGCCCATGTCATTGTATCGTAGAATATAGATGACCAACAAACACACGACATATCTCATCAACCAAGTATAGAAACAGAGTAATTTACACCAAAGATAATAACATTCAAATAGTAACTTGAAACTAGAAATGCCTTTATTCGTGCAAGTCAATTTAACAATTACTCTCTCCTTTACACTTGGCTTATCCACACTAAACTGACCATTGATATACGTCCTTTCAAACGAACTGATACTACCATAGTCATTGCAGAAGATACTTGAGTTGATGGGCATCTGTTTCATTGTGGATGAAAACACCAACGATGACTGAGTGACACAAGGTGATGAACTTAGTGGTGGATCAGAAGCTGTTCTTGTTCGGCTCTCAGATAGTTGTCCAACTGCAAGATTACCACCACTGCTGTCTTTCACTACTAGTTCGGGTTTAGCACTATCATCTGATGATAGGTGGGCTACACGCTGATCAATTACACTGACGGTCTCACAAGTATGCATGCCTTCTGCAACTGAATCTGCATTTATTTCTACTTCACGTTCAAGTTGTACAGAACCTTTATTTAACTTAGCAGTAGTAGGCATTCCCTCCATTTCATCATGATCAACCAAAGACAAATCTGCACTATCATGATCATTATCACATATATACAATTTACCGTCAAGTTCATCATTTTCAAACTCTTTAATAACAGAAGTAGACAATTTTGGTTCCTCCTCACAAATCATTAAAGGTTTTATATCTTCACTCTGACTAGTTATACTTTGTAAACTTTTGGAGTCAGAACTCCACTCTGAAGCAGTAACTCTATTCTGTGACACTCTATTCAACAACGGCTTACCAGTTGCAACTACAGACTTCTTCACAACAACGTTATCGTCACACAATTCGGAGTCAGGCCTGGAGTTTACATTTAGCTTATCACTGAACTTGCTCACCGGTTCACAGTTCACCTTTGTATGCACCTCTTGCAAACGAGTACAACACAACCGTGTTTGTCTTGCATCTTGCAACTTATCTGTTGAGGATGTACTACGAAAATTGTTACACTCACTAGATCTATATGCATTACTAGACATCATGGAGCCTTCTCGATATCCACCTCTCTGAGGCTTATTCGTCATCAATGAGTACGTTTTCCCCTCAGACTGCTCTATTCTATGGGTGAGATCTAACAGACTGGCGAACTTGCTCATAGATTGATTGACACTAGTATTTACCAGTTTCAGGATATCATCAAACTTTGGCTCGATACCCTCATCCTCCATACGGGAGCTTATCTTCACCCACTTCCTTTGCAGTCGGGTAGGTAGACGTCTTGCTATTACTTCTAGTATAAAACTCGAGTTGAGGTCACTCATTCGATTCATCGAAATCATTCCATTCTTGTAAATTAGCAAATTATCTAAAAACTCAGTGAGTGCCTGGGAGTCATCCTGTAACTGACCACCATTACCCTTAACAGCCTCGAATAATTTCCCTGCAATCATCGAGGGTCTTCCAAACCTTTGGCGTAATATGCTCATAGCCTCATCGTAGCCCTCCTTTGGCTTCATAAACTTACAACACTGTATAGCTCTTGCAGCATCTCCAGTGCAATATCTCATCAAATACATCAATTTCAATTCATCATTTAATAGAAAACTATTCAGCATGATCTCAAACTCCTTTACAAATTGTAAATAATCAGCCGGGTTTCCATCAAAACACCGTGGTTCTAATTTAGGGAGTTTGATGTTCCTATTATCCCTGAACGGCGAAACAGTAACATCAACCATATCATGTTTAACATCAGACACATCGTTACAATTAACAGACAAGTCACCATGACTTACTTTCCTGTTTGCATCCAAGACACTCTGTCCCTTCTTTGACCCAGGCATTGTTGAACTTGACCAAATTCCAAAAAAGTTCCAGATATTGCTTGTTCAAAGAGGACTTGACCGGCACCAGGAAAGATGAACGGCGACTATCCAAACTTTCACCAACTGTTTCAATCCGCCAGATCTGTTTCCATCGTCAGAAACTGTCAGCAAAGTCTCATAAACCGTTAATGCCCAGCTCTCGCTACGCTCGGGCCCACGCTGTTCTTAGAAGATTTCTGAGAAACGCTTAGTAACAACGGACGAAAAAACCAGAACACCAATTGTTGACTTGAGTATTATGTATTGTTACACCAGCATATAAATCAAGTATCACTAAGCAAACTAAGAAAACTAAGGTCTGAAAACAAATATTACAATAATAAATCTCTGTATTACTTCTGACGATGTTTCAATCTTCTTTCTGAACAGCGACCGATGAGACGATGACTGTCGTATTGATGCCTCCGCGAAAATCGAGGAAGTTGATTTTGAGCAAACAACCAAGAATTGATCGTTCAATCTTCAACTCCATTGACAAACACTTGTATTTTCGACTTTAGAAAGCATAACATCAGACATTGACGTAGTGGGAGCAGAGTATTCATTATTGACATCTTCATATGTAATACATACATCTTTAGCAGTTTGAAAAGTACAAGGAGGAATCTGAATTAACTCCTTCTCTAATTTAGGAATGTTGATTCCAGCAATTAGACGATCACGTAGTTGAGTATGCAGCTGATCTCCAAAATTACACTTTGAGGCTTGAATTTGAAGTTGAAGAATAAATTCTCGAATCTTCTGGTTGGGAGAACGTACCAGTTTGTTGAAGTGAGCCCTCTCTCTGGTCTCAAAAGTAGTTACATGGAAATGATCTATAAGAATTTCACGGAGCTTAGCATATGGCAGAGAAATAGGTTTATCTGGAAACGCCAGATTCTTCACTAGGCTATATGCATCAAGCCCAATAGCAGTGATGAAATGAGCAGGTATTTTGTCATCCCGAACATTCTTGGAAATGCACCACGCATCAAAGCATTCCAAATAATCAGCAATCTCCCGCGGAGACCCATTAATGGGGAATTTTCCCAGGTTACTTAGCTCCATCGCGACGCCAATTTGTAGTAATTTATTGTAATAGTAATATTAGTATTTCGAGATGACTGAATTACACGAATCCAATCAAAACTCAGAGAGGGCAGCAATCCGGAACTTGTATTTAGCGGAATTCTAATGCAATTCATATAAGAAACATATCAACAGTCAACAGTAAGTATTTTAAACAATACAGAGATAGAAATTGTCAATCACCACAGACTTGCTCCTAGCAATCTACGAACCGCTAGAAATGAATACGGCCACCGAATAGCCAATGAGAATCCCCACTTCGACAAAAAATGGCAGCGATTGGCGGCCCACTGATGATTACTGGCGAGCGAACGCTATAATAACCCCTGATTGCTATCCATCGACTCATGCACACGACTTGACGGCAACGCTATCTGAAGCAACAATATATTCCCCAAAATCGACTTGGTTAAAGCGTATAACCGAATCCCAATGGCAGCAGAAGATACTCCGAAAACGGCTATCATTACGCCTTTTTGACATTTTGAATTTCTACGTATGCCATTCGCTCTCCAGAATGCAACACAAACATTCCAACGCTTAATCGACGAAGTATTTCGTGGTCTCGGCTTTGTATACGCATACCAAGACGATCGCCTCATTGCCAGTCCAGACAAGGAAGCTCACCTTAGGCACTTGGACTTGGCATTTGAAAGGTTACGCCAACATGGTGTCACCATCAATATTCAAAAGTGTCAGATAAGCGTTGACTCACTCGAATTTCTGGGCCACACTATTGATTGCAAAGGCATTTGCCCACTGGCTAGTAAAGCTGAGGCGATACTGAACTTTCCAGAGCCGCAGACAGTGAAAAGTCTGCGCGCTTTTAACAGATCGGTAAGTTATTATCGATGCTTTATTCCCAACTGTGCTTCCCTGATTCGGTCACTGACAAATCTTCTTCGAGGGAACAACAAGTCCATCAAACTCGATGCGTCTGCTCAAAATGCTTTCACTCGGGTTAAAAAGCTATTGTGGATGCCACACTTCTAATGTCCGGCACTGTTAATTATCTTGGTCAGTGCATCAGACACTGCTATCGGCTCAGTTCTACAACAGCTAGTTAACAAAGAATGGCAACCACTCGCCTTTTTCTCGAGGCGCCTTCAATTAGCAGAAACGAAGTACACCACATTCGGCAGAGAACTTCTGGCTATATACTGTGCTATACGTCATTTTCAACATTCAGTAAAAATGTCGTGTATTTATAATTTTTACTGATCACAAACCTCTGATGTACTCTCTAAACTCAACTTCAGATAAGTATTCATATAAAGAATCACGACAACTGACTACGTTTCACAGTTTACATCGGATGTTCGCCATGTATACGGAGTGAACAAGACTGTGGTAGATGCCTTGCCGTGCATTCGTTCCCTCACACAAATAGACCACGCAGACCTTGTGAAACTGGCTCGTCTTCTTGAAGAAGATGCCGAGCTTCAACATGAGTTGTCGAAAATAACTCCACAATAAGGCGAGAAACCCTTAGGTATGGGAACAGATACCATTCTCTGTGACACTTCCACGAGCACTCCTTGGCCCATCGTGCCTAAAAGTTATCACCGCAACGTTTTCAATACGTTGCTTCGCCTACCCCACCCAGCTATCTGAGCTACCGTCAAGCTAGTAACTAGTCGGTTTTGTTGGCCTGATATTCATAAGGAAGTAAAGGAATAGGCACACACGTGCTTAGCTTGTCAAAAGTGAAAGGTGATAAGACACACCAAAAGCCCACTTGGCACCTTTCTTCTCCCTGACGCTCGTTTTGAACACGTCCATATAGATTTGGTTGGACTCCTTCCTGAATCCCATGGATCTACCTATATTTTAACTTGCATTGATCGATTCACACGACGGCCGGAAGCAGTGCCCACAAAGGACGTATCTGCTGAAACAGTCGCACGCGTCTTCGTAGAAAGATGGATCGCTAACTTTGGATGCCCATCTTCCATAACAACTGATCGCGGGCGGCAATTCGAAAGCGGCTTATTCTTCGCCATGATTAAAATCATAGCATGTATGCATTTTAGAACAACAGCCTACCATCCTCAAGCTAATGGTATGATAGAGCGTCTACACAGTTTGAGGCTGGTCTGTCAGCTGCAAACAATACCCACTGGACTGAATCACTTCCGTTAGTTCTCCTAGGGATACGAAACTCCTTGAAAACCTATGCTGGTTGTACTAACGCCGAGCTAGTATATGGCAAAACACTACGACTGCCAGGTGAGATTGTTTCTCCCTCTAGCTTCCCACGGGCGGTAGATCACGCCTCAAACGTCAGCAGGCTTACGAACGCAATGCGTTCAGCTTAACATGCTTCCCTCCGACCACAGACCATAAACGTTTTTTGTTCACACGTTTGAAAACTTCTTCACGTGTATTTGTTCGTCGTGAATCTGTGCGCCGACCTTTGGAACCTCCATACGACGGACCATATAAAGTTTTTAAACGTATGGATAAATTCTTTGATTTAAACAAGAAAGGCCACTAAGACACCGTCAGCGTCGACCGTCCGCAACCGGTCCACTCGGAGGCAATCTATTAACCTATAACTGAGCGTATCCAGTAATCCACAAGTAACCGAATATCCCTTAGTCCTCGAGAAAATCACTAGTACGGCGAAAGCCACAGAACCTTCTGTGGAGCCCTTTTAGGAAAACGCGTTCTAGACGAGAAGTGAGATTCTCGGAATACCACATAACTAAGTGGGGCGATTCACCTAACTCGTACTATTTATTTTTTTTCAGGCACATAAATTTTTTTATATTGCATCCCGCAACACAAGTAAAAACTTTTCTATAACCGCACATGGTACATGTACAAAAATGTTAGATATATACATTTTTCGATGTTCTATTTTCG